TCATTTATTGTCTCCAGCTGTAAGCGGAAATTAAGGTAACTTCTGATTATCTTTGCTGCCTAATGGATATGGTTATGACTCAGAGCAGTCTCAGACCCCTTTTGCTGCTAGGCATTTTGGCAAACTCTTGGGTGATTTTTTTTTTTTTCCTGCACAGCAGCAGGAATGGGAAGTAATGTTCCATTCAATTCTTTCAGCTGTGACTACTATTAATTATTTTCAAGGTTTCCCTTAGGAAGACACTCTCACAGGAAACGTGCTCTTAGTCTCACCTATATGTGCAGGGTGGTTATGCTTCTGGGAGGCAAATCACTCCAGGCTAAGGGGGAAGACAAAAGTGTTTTTTCAGTGAATTCTCACGAGGGACTTAGTTTCAGTGCCAAAAAAAAAGAGTTTACGTAGTAGTGAGGTCCTGACTACGTGAACACTAGCTAGGTTAAACGCTGGGCTCAGTCTGAAGGATTAGTGTAAGATTAATATTGTCACAAGGAGGTAATAGAGCTTATTGCAACGTTATTCAGCCATTAATAGGAAAATATGCCTACCAGCATTCCCCCAGGTACTGCCCATGTAGCTTCAGCTGATGCATATACATTGCCTTCCACCTTTCGACCCTGTTTTTTCATAACTCTCACAGAATTACGAGTGATGAGAAAAAGGGCTCAAGCCACAAGCATCTAACCCCCAGCTAGGCTGAAGAGAGGCGGCCGGCAAGCGCTGAGGAAGGCAGGGGCGGGGTGTTTGGCCACTGAGCATCCCCTAGTGACTGCATCTCCCCATTACAGCCGCCGGCTCCTCAGCCCACCCGAGGAGCACGCAGGAGGGAAGCCCGATTTCTCAGGGTCTGAACACTGGTTTACTGCAAATAATGAAGTCCTAGGCTTACAGAAGCACTGACCGGCTACAAAATAAGCCATCGCTTCAAGACAACACGGAGCTCTTTTCAATCCAAGTACGAAACTTGGATTCAAAACCAACTGGCATCACTTGTTTGATCTACCAAAAGTGGAACTGAAGACGCTTCTACAGCTATGCTATCTTTTCACCCAAAATTGACTAATGACTTCTAAATCAAATAAAAAAAGGAGGGATTGTTGGGATGGTTGGCATTATTTCCCCACTGGATGCTACAGCTTGTTAAAAAAAGTTTACATTTCATAGAGAGAGAACGATGCACTTTTTTTTTTTTGGTCATCTATTGGACTGTTCGCTGCATTTGAAGGATGAGGATGGGCAAGTTTTGACTCAAGAAAATCCTGCAAGCTGTAGAGCTTGCTGGTAAACAAACAGGAAAAAATCATCTGCTTCGGCAATATGAATATGTGGGATTTTTTTTTTTTTTTTTTTTTTTCCCCTGCCACAGAAACTTTTTTTCTAAATACTTTCACCAGCTTCAGGAAAGGGTGGGTTAGAGTCAGGGGTTTCCTGAGCCTTTTCAGAACATGGTTTTAACGTAGCCGTGTGTTCAGAAGAGCCCCTAGAGAGTCTTGTTTTGGAACACACTGACGCCTACACATTATTATCTTTGCTACGTTTTGCAGTTTTGTGTGAAATTTATTTTTAATCTTTAACAAAACATGCCCCTGTTTATCTTAAATTCAGAAAAGGTTTAATAATTTAAAACAAAATAACTTTTTAAGTAATTAGATTTACAATGAATGCCAAAACATAAAAGTATAAAGCAAGTTAACAAGAAAGGACTTCTTAAAGATCAAAGAAAATGTGTTTATTTGATTTGATTAAAAACAAATAAAAAGTACTTTCACTTTAACAGGTTATAGCTGGCTGTTGACAGAAACCAGTGAAAGAGTTTCCCAGTCCCACAGGATAAAGGTTTTCTTCTGATAGAGGTTCACGTACTCAGAACAGATTGCCCACCGATATGTCAAAGGAATTATATTTTGAAAAGTGAGAAAGCTGCATCAATATTAAAAACCATGGTCACAAAGGCAAGTTTTCTTGGACAACATACTCCCTTTGCTACTATTAAGTAGGATTGATGGTATTAATCGATGGGCATTCCTAGCTGGTACCCTTCTATATACAGAAAAACTCTGGGAATGGGAGAGGTAAAAAGTACCATTTAATTTAATGGAAAGGCAGAATATATTAGCTCAAAAACTGCTTTAACGTGTCGGTAGAGTCCTCAGAAGATTGCTGGCTTCCACAGATCTCCTCCATGGCCAGAGGAGGCTGGAATGTGGCAGCCTTAGCCCTGCCAGCCTTGTTGTTCCTCTGTCATGACAAGTTTTGAGTCTACCAGGTAAGTCTCTCCCCAAGGCTTAGATGGGAAATGTACAGACCTCCCACGAAACGATGCCATGCTGGGATCCAGGCAAGAGAAGAGCTAAGTAATTGAAACAGGAATTTGCAGTAAGTCAGGCTGTCTAAAACTTTGTTTAATGAGGTTTTATGTTTGTTAATACCAATTTAACTCCTAAAAGAGCATTTGAAATAGTATGGCTTTTTAAAAAAGAGTAAACACTTTCCTCATTTCTAAAAGAGAAAAGAATCCATGGTCTAAAGACTGCTTGAAACCTCAGTGAAGTCCCCCAGCTAAACCAAAAAGACCAGATTTGACATTCCAAAAATGCTGAGGTGAAAAACATCCAGAAAACATTTAAAGCACTCATACACTTCAGACATTCTCTACACAATATGATGAAAAAATAATTCTTAAAAAAATAATAATTTGGAGGTTATCTTTAAAAGCAACATGTGAAATTCATCATCCTAACTTTACAGAAGTAATAAATTTAGAGGAGTGGTGCTTATTCTCACACTATTTTTAGAGTGTCCACAGACTCTAAGAGAATATGTCCGCGTACTCTCTTAAAGAGTGTCCACATATAAGAACGGCCTCTTTAGCAACTGCTGTCACCGCATCTCACCTCCCTCCCTGTTCCCATCTGCCTGGAAGATGCCTTCAGACAGCCTGTGCAGACCTGCACGCCAGCTACGCTCCCCGGCGGGCAGGCTTCGGCGCACAGGGCGCTGCGTGCGGGGGGCTGCTGTCTGCACTCCGGTGAGCCCCGTGCGGGAGGCGGCCTTGAAATCATCTGCAACACAGAGGGGCAGCCATACCTACTGCTGCTGAGCAGTCGAAGCACTCATCGCTCCCCGCGTGCTCCCATTTCTGATCAAAGCATTGGTCAGCCCTGCAGCTGCTCATGCAACTCCTATTAACCTGCAGCGAGGCCGCAGAGAGGAATGAACTGCTACTCTAGTCAGCCACTGCTAAGACACTCGCTGTAAGATCATTAAAACAAAGCAGGCTGTGAAAGAAATCAAGCCTTGCTCCAATTTAAAATACTTGGTAATTTGATGAGAAAACATATGTGTGATTTGTGTTTATGTCTGGAAGTTTTCCCTAGCGTGAAAGCCTTTAAAGGAAAACCAGATCTTTCTTGCAATATATGTTCTTTTATTTTATGCAGCCTAGACTGTGGATTGTAGTGATGTCAAAAATGTACATGGAGTGATTGCATCCTGTCTGTGTCCTGCTGCAGTGATGTCAAAAATGTACATGGAGTGATTGCATCCTGTCTGTGTCCTGCAAGAACGACTTTGAAAGTTAGATGTTTCATCTCTACAGTCATATCCTGGATCAACAAAACCAGTCAATAAATAAATACATTTAGTGACAAACCTAGCTTTTTCTGTAAGCTGCAGTTAAACAGGAACTTGATTTGTTTTTTTGTATTCACATCTATTCTATAATAATGAATCCAGCACCACAATATCTGAATACCCATTATAAGATCAGAGAAACCTTTGTGGTACCCGTTTTCCTAAAAATTCTTTAAAACCCCCAGTCCTCCATTCTCATTCTTTTGAAGTCTTTGCTTTAAGCCTAAGACCTGAATACAAAGGGCCAGAACTTTGGTTGAAAACGTTTTGGTTTTTTTGTTTTGTTTTTTTTTTTTTTTTTTTAAGTGGTGATTTTGCCCAAGAAAGAGGTAAACAGAAGATAAAGCGTATGAATTTTTCAATATTTTTTTCCAAAGCTGAGTGTGCCACTGAAACTTGTATAAAATTCCGATTTAAATATCGATTTGTGTGCAAGATGTGGTATTTAATTGTCACATATGAAATTTATAGCACCAGGAAAACTTGGGGCAAAATCTTAGGAGTTGAATGACCTACAGGTGTCAGAAGAAATATGTAAGATAGACACACCAGTCACACATCTGGAGCTATGCATCGAAATCTGTTGAAACTTTCTCGTGACTGTTGGAAAGTCTTTCACAGGTCTTGAAGTGCAAGCTAGCATTAATTCTGTCACCATACTGTTATTGTGGCTATTAATACCTGCCTATTAACACCGCGGCTTTTATCCACCTTTCTCAAAACTCATTTCCAAAGGTTATCCCGCTGCAGGCCTGTCCGTGTTGGTCACTCACAGATCAGGGCCCTGAGGGCTGCCCCAGGTCCCTGGCAGGGCAGCGCACCCCGACATTTCTTTCTCACAGCACTGCCCAGGGAGGCTCCTTGGCCGCCCCAGCTCCCAAAGCCTTGTTTACCTCAGGAAGTGTCACTGCCTTGTTTTCCTCCCTCAGGCTGTCAGCGCTGTGATGCCGTTGGGGTCCCCCAAGCTCTCTGCTTTTGCTGCCTGTGGCCTGACACCGCAACATGGCTGTGCCCGGCTTCCCGCGGGAAGCCGTTGGCCAGCTCCTGCCCCTGCCTGGGGCCAGCGCGGTACACAAACAGGCTGGGGTGTGCTGGCATGTGGGAACAGCGCGGTCAGCCGCCGAGCGACAGCCTTGGGAGCAGGTAAGCCGGGGCCGAGGAGGGCACAGAGCCCGAGAGGGACCCCCCAGCCCGCCGCGAGGTAAGGCAGCCGCCATCACCCGCTGTCAATCACCACCCGCTGTCAATCACCACCCGCTGTCAATCACCACCCGCTGTCAATCACCACGCCCTCAGCACAGCCTTGGCTCCGCCCCCTTCCCCCCGCCCCCCTCCTCCCCGCGCGTGGGGCGGAGCTATTCCATCCTTGCGTCTGACGCAGCGCGCTGGGGGCGGGGCGGAAGTGAGGAGGCGGAGGCGGCGGAAGTGGCTGCGGGTGTGGGGACAAGATGGTGAGCGCGGACGGGTTCGGGCGGGCGGGCGGCGGGGGTCGGTCGTTTTCACGCTGGAGCGGAGCGACACGCGTGTGCCTGTCTGCGCCGCTTCCCCGCTCGGCCGGTGCGGTCCCCGGGGGTGGCGGCCGGTGGGCGAGGGGCGCTGGGGCCGTGCTGAGTCACGGGGGTCCGGCGCGGCCATGGCGGACGCTGCCGGGTCGGGGGCCCGCACCGGGGGAGAGGCGTCCTCCGCGTGTATGTGTCTCTCCCACGCGAGGTCACGCCGCGGTCCTCCGTGCTATTACCCGCTCCCCCCGAAACCGGCTGGGCACTGGCGTGACTTGAGGGCGTTGGGTTTTGGGGCTATTTCACGGTTTTCTCCTTACGCTTGACTTTCGCTGTGATCCTCCCTCTTGTCACATCCTGCAGGTGATGTGTGTCTCTAGTGTTTTCGCTTACAGCCATCTCAGGAAGGTCTGGTCAGTGTTGAGTACGTTAGTTGGTGGATGCTTTAGATGCATGCGGTAACAGGTATTTTAGGATTTTCTAATAGCTGCTAGGTTACTGACAATTAACGTGTTAGTACTGTAAACGTGAATTTTCTCTCGTATCTGACAGTGCTGCTGGAGGAAACTTCAGTGCCGAACAGCTTATCACTGTCATCTTCCAGGGATTATTGCTGTCACCTTTCAGAATTTATTACACATTGGCCTATTGGTGGAGCAATGTGTATGAACAATCCTAAAATCACTTCAATAAAATCTGGCAGGTTAGCATGAAATTAGTGGTCTGAATTAAGATGGCTTTACTTACTGAGTCTGTGGAGCTGTGTTTTACTGGTCTTCTGCTACAAGTTACTCTTTCTCCTTTGCTCTCTTAGTTAACTGGCATAAGAGACCGTGTGAATACACCTTGTCCTCTTTATGGCAGCCTTAAACCATGGATAAGATCAAATTGATCTTACTTGATTGTGTCTGTATTGAAGTAAATGAAAGAATGCTCAGACATGTCCCTTTGTCCCCTCAGCTGAGCGTGGCCCACCTTCCTTTCCATCCCTGCAATCTGGGGTGGGAATGAACAAGGGGTAATTGTAAATTTAACTGTTTCAGCCAGGTCCAAAAAATGTGTTATCAGTACCTTTTAACTGTTATCAGACTGTTTGAAAGAATTCTGATGCAGGGTGGGATTTGTGTTTTGGTGTATAGTTTTTTGTTTTAAGAGGTTCCAAAGTCTAGGGCTTGTATGTGAGTAGTTTAAAGAGTCTTTGAGCACTTTAATTTGTCTGGCCTAATGGTTCATATGAAAGGGGTCTGGTTCTGTTAAAGTAATCCTCAATGTTTTGTTTTGTTTTTTATTTTTCCAGAATTCCAGAGGCGCTGCTTCTCTGTTGAAGGATAGTATCCCAATTACTGAATTTTCAGCTTCAGGACCGTTTGAAGGTCATGATCTTCTTCGTAGAGGGTACACTTTACTTTTTCTTGCTGATTTGTGCAATAGCCAATGTTGAACTTCAGATCTAGGAAGAAACTATATGTTAAATGTTGGCTTTTTAAAGACGATTATTGGAAGGTGTATTGCAAAAGCTATAGCCTGAAGTGCATGTATTTAATCAGATTCTTTCAAGCATGAATTTCATGTGCAACATCGCTTCGAGAAGTAGATAACATTAATGGACTTTTACCTGTGTGATACTGCTCTTTAGAAAAGAGATGGCAAAGTATTAATAATTATGAAATATAAGCTAGTTTTAATATACACATATGTGAGCGTGCAGTAACTCTGTGGGAAATAGCTACTTTCAGCATTAGTACTAAAATTAAAGTTAATACAGTAAAAACTGGTTTCTGGTTTTACCATTTTACTTGAGTGCAAAACTATGTATGTCTTTAATAATGAATGTGAAATAAGTTCATGGAGTTTAAAATCTGGGTAATACCTTCCCCCCAAATTGTATCTACAACATTCAGTTTCAAAAGCTTGGAGATACCATGTAGCTTGGATATAATTAAATCTATGATATTTTAATTTATTAATATTTTTCTCTGTTTCTGAAGGGAGCCAAGGAAGAAAAACTGTCATTTTGTTTTGTCAAACAAAAAAGCATGCCTGAAATTTAAATTCTTCTGGTAGTGCTGTAGTTAGAGATATTATTTGCTGTTTTGCTATTAAGTTGTTTGGTGGTTTGTTTTTTTTTTGGTTGGTTGTTTTTTGGGGGGGGTGTGGGTTTGGTATTTTTTGTAGATCAAACTGTGCTAATTGTGTGTCTGTGGGTTGATGTTTGTATCTGAGATTAGTTTTGAAATGCAACTTAAGTAATAGCCCAATTAATTTAAATTTCAATTTTTTAATTTTTATTTTTAGCTTTACAAGTGTGAAAAGTGAATTGTTGCCCAGCCACCCACTGGAGTTGTTAGAAAAAAATGTAAGTATAACATCTAATATGGCCATCTTCACTCTTAACTAATTATGAAGTTTAAGTTAACAACGTGGTTACCTGGACTGCTTTCTGTGGTAACAAGTAATGAGCAGGATCTTGCCTTTAACAGAATAAAGATGTCCAGCAATAGTAACATTTTATTTATACAAATAACACTGTTGACAAATGTGTTTAATGTTAACATCCCACTTGTGACTCTCTCCATTTCAAGTATGTAAGCGGGCTTCCAAGTAGGGGTTTATTTAGTAAGGTTTAGTCATCTAAAAGTTATCAAGCTAGCTGTGTATGCAGCCACTGTAGTTAGGTGGGGTCACACTGGTCGCTTCTGGAAGGCTGACCTTCCCATTTTGTCTATAGTCTGTGGTTTACCACGTATCTTCATTTTCAGACTTTCAGTCTGTGAACACATAAATATTTTTCATTAAATTACTTGATCCTTTCTAGAAATTTTACACATAAAGTTTGTTGTAAGTTTATGGAATATTATCTGGTTTAGTCATCACTTGTGGACCACTTAAGAGTGGTCTGTGGACTGTAGGCCGAATGTAAACGGAGCCTAGACTGGCAGCCTTGGCTAAGTGTCTGAACTGAATCTAGTCTCTGGTGCCTGTTCCGTCAGTGCAGAAGATTTGGTGTAACAAAATGTCCTGAAGCAAAGGCAGTATTTAGGTAGGATGTTTAGCTAATCAACATGATGAGGTCTGATTGTAATGTCTAATATATTCTAATTCTGACCAGTGCTAGTGTTGTCTTCAGTTAAAAGGGTGATGTTAATGTGACACCAACTTCAGGAGCTTATTTATAAATACTATAAATGTTACAGAGCTATTTGTCAGTTGATTTTTTTTTTTTTTTTTTTTTTACAACTGACTGCTATAACTTAGTTTTTAAGTTTCTGTTGAAAGTTTTTAACTTTCTGTTGTATAAAACCTGCATAATTAAAAGATTACATGTTAGAGAAAAAAATGCACAGAAATAGTTAAAACAGACAGTGTGATCCCCTAAGAAGTATGTGAAACTTTTAAATTGTTTTTTAACACATACCGTTTGGTTAGTTGTTCTGTAGGTTTATGGCTGATTTAATTATTTTCATGTACATTTGAATGGCAAAAAACTTCTGTGGTTGTTTTTACTGTTGTAAATAGTAGGTTATTCAGGTAGCAGTAGTAGAAACCAAATCTTTCTGCCACCAAGATAAGGACCTCTACCTTTATAAAATAAAAGAAATTGAAAAATAGTGTAATCAGAATTGTAAGTTTGTGATGAGTATTTTCTGCTAACTTTTGAAGAGCATTCAACATAGGTTGTTATGAAGAAAATGCATGTCGTGCCTTTGATTTGTATTTTCCTGTTGGTTTTTGAGATCCCTTAGCATAACCAGGATGATACACCAGTAGGCTTTTATCAAAGTGATTGAGTACAGGTTTTAAAATAAGAGATTTGTATTTTTTGGTTTACTTTACAGTATTGCATTGTGTCAGCATTACAGGCATATAGTCACTACTATAAAAGCCAGATCTGATACTGGATTGCTCAAGTTTAACATGAAGCATAAGTTACTTTTATGTACTTCAGTATTTGTGAGTCAGCACTTTTTCATTAACAGAAGTCTACTAAATAGATTTTGTCTTACCCATCAGTTTCAGAGCAGCTGATACAATTATGAGCTTTGCAGTCATACAGAGTATATGTGGTGCTCTCTTCTACTTCTGATCGAGTAGAGTTTCAAGTGTTTTCAAGTAGAGTCTTTGGCTAACAATAACTAATAATCAATATTTGGCTAATAATCAATAGTGGCTTTCAAGTTTGTGTTCTGTAAACCAGACTCAGCTTCCAATTCGTGTTGATAATACTGTAGTAATGTAAAGTAGTGCAAAACCACCACTTGGTGGTGTTACATGTCCTGATGGTCAAAAATGACAAAATAAAATTGCTACTATTGATTTGTAATAGAATCCAGCAAAAAAGCAGTTTCAGTTGCATAAAACAAATATTACTGCATCACTGTCTTTCATGGACGTTTAAGACCTGTGAAGGTCTTAGAAATTTAATAAACGTGTTAATTCCAGTAGGATGTCATAAATCTCTTTCTGTGGCTGAACTTGAAAGTAACTTTTCCTAAAATAAAAATCAATGTTGTTTGTGATAGTTTCAGTTAAATCAAGATAAAACAAACTTTGCCACGCTGAGAAATATTCAAGGACTCCATGCACCTTTAAAGCTGCAGATGGAATTCAGAGCAGTGAAACAGGTAGGCATTTTTATCTGACTGGTGTAACTTAAGGCGCTTGAAAAAATGTTTATCTCGAAACGTGCTTTCAGAGAGACAACTTTCTTTGTTGAAATACTTTATGTTTCCACAAGAAATTCTTCCACTGGACTGCTTTTTTATAACCAACCAATCAAACACTGCATTTAATAGCTTCCAGAGCAGTCAATGTGCGAAAGCCTTTCAGCTGCTGTTCTTTCATTGTTACTTGGTGAAGTGGTAACTGCTCTAGGTTTTTTGTGGAACTAGCTTCCTGTAAGACTTCAGAGAAGAGTAGGAGGAATTGAATATGAGTTCCTAAAAGTAATACTCTCCTCTGTGGAACATAGGACCTTCATGGGAAGGTATCTCTCCATCTGTAGGGCAAAGAGACTTAAGGATCTGAAGCAGGTAGTGGTTTGGGAGTGGATAAAGGGGTAACCTGAAACCTGAAGCAACGAATTTGCTATATGCTTATTATTGTTCCACAGCCTTTCTTTGTAAGATCAGGGGAGGTCTACAGGGAGTTAAGTTCAAAGGTGTTAACTCTTAATTAGGAAGCTGAGTCTGTCTCCTTTTACTTCTTATCTCTTAGGATGGGAGAGTAACTGGAGGGAGGATGACTTTGTCCCTTAGGAAACATACAAAGCTCACGGGTGGTAGTAAACTTTTTTCATCTTGTTGAAATTTGTCAAGCTATTAAGAGTTGCTCTTACAAGTGAGTTGGAGCAATTTTATACTCCCTTCCAGTGGATGGGGTGCTGCTGCGATACAGTGAGCTGCATTAAACTTGGCAGAAGTCACTGATCCTGAAAATGGTAAAGTCAGACAGGATGTATGAGAACACCCTTTGATCTCAGCTGTGCTGTCTTCTGAGGAAAAATCTTTTTCCTAATTTACGTTAGCACACAGCAGAAAATGAGACAGGTGGGGATATCCTGCTAGTGTGTCTCCTCAGGTATTTTTGCGGGATGGGTGGGGGAGACGGTAATTAGAAGGTTTTTCACTCCCAGCTTCATGTTAGATACACAAGTTCTCTTGTGGTTTAATTTCACTTTTCTAAAATATTTACTGGAATAGTGTATTTGAACTTCTGACAATTGTGCCAGTAGTGATTATGGAAGTATTTTGTGTGTAAAGAGATGGCTACATGATAATTTTGTGGTTGTAAAATACACTCTTGGTATAACTGAAGTATCGCTACTGGTAGTGAATGTGACTGCAAGTACAGAAATGCCATTCTCAGAATAGGATCTGAGTACTGTGTGTACCACTTGATTTTTTTTTTTTTTTTCAATAGTGTGGGTAAAGGGTAAAGAAGAGAGCTTTGAAAGTAACTGGAAGTGGCCTTGAAGCTTAAGAATTGGTGAGGATCAGAGAAATAATTATGATTTAGATTATTTGCAAGGAGGATTATATTTAGGTGTGAAAATTTATAGCTCTTTCATTGACATTCCTGACTGGTGTCAGAGATGTAGGAAACTTAAACTACAGTGTCTGGAAACTGCATTCTATGTCAGCTGCCCAATACTCACCTCAGGGTATGGATGTGTTTGTTGCAGTAAGCTTCCCCAACTTTATGTGATAACAGAGGAGGAAAAGAACCTACTTTTTTTTTTAACTACACTTTTTGCTGTAGTAGCTATGCTGCAGCAAAAGTTACAAATCTAGTGAAAGGCTGTTCTTTTCAAAACAGATAAACAATAGAAGATGGTGATGTTAGGTCAGTTTTGCTGTCTATGTGTGCCAGTAATTCTCTTATTTCATCATTGTTTTTGAAGGAAGAAGTGACTTTGCTTGCTCCTTTTCTCAGTCACTTCACGCTGAGAAACCAAAATATAAACCTCCTAAATTTCAGACTTGGAGAAACTTAACCTCTTGTTGCCTTTTTATAGGTCCAGCGTCTCCCATTTCTTCACAGCTCAAACATGGCACTGGATACTCTGAGGGGAAATGATGAATGCATCAGTTTTGAGGATATCCTTAATGGTAAATACATTCTGTTTTGAATATTATGGAAACATTTAAAGATGAAATTTGGGAACTGTGCAGTTCTTTGCTGCTACGGAGTAAGAGAATTAAACGCACAAAATACAAAGAAAAAATTGAATTCCTGAAGGCAAAGAAGCACTGAGGGAAAGAGAAATAAATGTGCTTCAGCTGCTAGTTGTGTGGAAATTACTCTGCAATACTGAGTAAGTCAGTATTTGCTTGTAGGCTGGGTTTCTAAAGAAGTAGATTATGCACTTACATTGTATGCCTGCTTCCCTGGAAACTTTTGAGCTCCTTGTGCAGATTTTGACAGGTGGAGGTTACAAAGATACAAAGTTTTTGTAAGTTGTGTGATTTAAAAAGAAAGAAAGGCTAGAGGAGAGATACTGAACTAATGAACCAGAGCTTTGGCAGGGGGAAGGCTCCCTTTAATTACTCAACAGTTTGCAGTTGTATGGTGGGCTACTGACTGACAGTTATTATGTGTGGAATAGAATAAATCTGGAAACATAGTTTTAAAAAAAAATTATTTATTTCTAGCTGGTAGTTAAGGACATGGAAGGAGGCAGAGGGTACTTTGAGGTGGGATTGGAGAATGGAAAGAGCCAGGGAGATGATAAACTAGAAATAATGGAGAGGTAAGTGGGAATCTAGAGGCATGAGGTAAATCTGGGATTATTACCTGGATGGATTTACAGGGAGCAAGGGAAGGAATCTTTGGTTATTGTGGTTCAAGGGTAGTGCAGTGACAAACATAATTGATAGGGATTTCATTATTTACCATTGCTCACAACAAGCTGCTACTTATTTATAGAGTGCTAAGGAGTAAGTGGATTAAAAGTGTTTTCAGTAAGATGCTATTTATCATCTGGAGCTGAATTGGATATTTTTGGTGTCTTTGGAGGAATCAGAGGCATTAATATGCCTTATCTATGGAAGGAAAACACCCCTGTACACCCATAAAGGCGTATTTCTTCCAAAGTGCAGTCACAACTTTTTTTTCTGGCCTAGATTTTTTTTTTTTAATTATTTTTATTTTTCATATGGAAATTAAGCTCATACTGTCAGAATTGGTATCTCTTGTGTCCTCTGCACATTCCTTGATAACCTTTGAGTACAGTGGCTATTGTCAAACATACTTTACAGAATGGAGGAAGTCTTGGAGATATCTAAGGGCACAGAATTTCTTTGAGGCTAGGTGGTTAGGTGGGGAAGAGACCACAGGTGTGTCCCAACTAACAGAAGGGAGGAGTGGGAGTTCCTGTTGTGCAGAGAAGTTGCATTGGAAAGACATGTGGGGCACCTATGGGAAAAACTTTACTCAGACTTGACTTTTCTTAACCACAAAACTCAAATCAGCTTTGAGATTCAGGCTATAGAAGACTGCTTATGTAGAACTGGTTGGTTTTAATTGAAGTATGTGTGTGTGTGTCCTGGTGAAACACTGTTCCACTATAGATATATTTATTATCTGATGATTGCTTTGGATAGAGACTTAGGAGTTACAGAGCTGTATTGTGTAACTGTCAAAAATCAGCCAAGTAACTGTCGCACTCAGCATTAGAATGAAGAAAAAAAAAAAAAAAATCATGTTCATAGTTATTGTTGGTCTTATAGCTCTGTAAAAGCCTCATGCTGTCGATGCTTTTTTTTCCAGATCCCTCACAGAGTGAGGTTATGGGAGAACCACACATGATGATGGAATACAAGCTTGGTTTGTTGTAACAAAATGTACTCCACAAAACCGTTTTGTGCGTGTCTTTATACTGCAGATGATCTCAATACACGATGCTAAGGTGACACTCACAGTGTTAAGCAGTCCTACAGTTATCATTTGCCTTCCTTGAGGAAAAGGCACATTAAATGTTTAAAGTCTATAAATTGTTCTGTGCTTGTTGTCAATTATATAAATGTCCTGTAACTAGGTAGTTTAAATAATGTCTCTTCGTACATTGCTCAGGACAATAGCTTCTTAACTATGGAAATGCCATATATGTATACAAGAAACCCCAAAATACCCATGCATCTTAAAAGTGATTACTGTAGGTAATTTAATGGATGTTCTTGCAGAAGAACTTTTTAAGGGTGAAAATACGGTATTTTCCACTGAGTAATTCTTTGTTCATGAAAATTTCCATACACTTTTTAAACTATTGAATAAAAGTTTGCTATAAATGCTGTTGCGTTCCAAAATATATTTAACCCTAAATCAAGAACGTCTTATCGACAACACAAACAGTGTTGTTTCTTTTTCTTGCAGTATCTTTAAAGATCTTTAACTTCTGCACTGCCAGTGGAATCCTGCTACACACATTTTATCCCCCCCCTGTTGACAGTTGATCATGAGCTTCGGTATAAAATTGGAAGTATTGCTGTAAGGGAGTTAAAGGTTTGAATGTCTTCATTGGTGTCTCTGAGAGGATATTCTGGTTTATGAAAGCAGAAGCAAGTTATGCTTGGAGTTTAAAGAGGTGTTTTAAAATTCTTTTGGGAGCATAATCCAGAAGAGCACTCCTAGATCTAGGTGTTTTAGTGTTTGGAGATGAAGAATTAATATGGTGCCTACTAAATCTGCTGAAGTGAGAACATGAAGTGGTACTAGATGACAAATACTGAAACAACTTTTTGTGGGTTTACCAAAATCAGATCTTAACTAAGGAGGAATGAGACACCTATACTTAACCTTTCAGGGCCTGCCCCTTTAAAAGGTGTAGTTTTTTGTGTGCTTAAGTGTGTGTGGGGGGGTGTTATTAAATTCAGGGTTGTAACAAGTTTCCTGATGTCGTGCATGTGCATGTCTCCTATATAAATCTTGAAAGGCAGCTAATATGATGTGGCATATTAGGAGAAAAAACCCCAAGTCTGTGATTCAAAAGATGTCATATCTTGTCATAGGTGGGGAGCTTGAAACAGTATTTTTAAGACAGGAACTGTCTTTATGCAGGTTTTAATGACTTGGTTAAACAGTTAAGTGCACTTAGTGTTCTGTTGTAGATAATTTTAGCAGCAATATTGCTATAAGCCTCTTTTCACAACCCCAAACATCTCTTCTGCTTTTCAATGTGACTTTTGTAAAGCAGGTGTCCCCAGCGAGCTGTGCCTGGGCCAGGGAAGGCGCTTGCAGATCCACTGGTCTGACGGGTGCGACACAAGGCCCCCCACTGACTACTTGCAGAGAGCAGTGCTGTCCCTGCTCTGTAATTCCCCACCTCCCCTTGGTGCTGATGTTCTGGGCAGCATCCTTTCCTCTCCCCAAGTGCGGGAGAGAGGCAAAAGCACGTCCTCCTGCACTGCTGTTTGTTATGACCACAAAAAAATACTGTACCACAGTGCTGCTGCTTATGTTTATGTAAACATTCTTCCACCAGTGTTTGTCAAAAAACAAAGCAAGAACTACACATACAACATGGAGTCTAAAAAACCAAACTTCATTATTAATTTCTGTTAATGATTTGCACTTACATACAAATAGAGCAACTATTATAAACTAGGAAGATTTTGACTTAATCGGAAGCACATTAGTACCTGCTTTCCTCAGCTTGTACTGTGCTAGGCACTTCAAAAACACAGTTCATATCCCTCATGTTTTGACCTCAATTTACAACCAGTTCTCAATGCTGTGTCTACCCGAAATACTCTGCAAACACCAAGTACTTTGTAGAGCAAAATCAAACCATAACAAAGCCATTCCTGAAGTGTACGTGCTTGTTCTCCTTTGGCCTGACACAGGGCCTCTGTGGAACTGTTGCTCCCGAGGGCTGGCAGAGGTGTGCACTGAAGGCACACAGCCCTTCTTAATTTGCTTTACTTTTTCCAGGCGGTTTTGTATGAAACAGTGAACTTCATAAAGCCTTACAGAAGTGCATAATGAAGAGGCAAGGAAGACAATGTAATCTTTGTGCTGAAATCCTTTGCATCAGTGTTTTCTTAATCTCTCTAAAAGCACGCATTATGTTTTGGACCCACTGATTATTGGAAAATTCAGCTTACTTCAACAAGCTGGCAGCAGCTTGTGCACCTCAAGGGAGGAGAGTTAAGCAGTTTTATTTACTGGCTGGTGTCTAAACTAGCTAGGAAAAGCTAACGATCTTTAATTGCTGACATCAGCCTTGGTAGGTCAGGACAAGTGCAAGAGCTGGCTATAGCTGTTGGCTGTGTAAATGTTCATTTCCCCTGTGCTGGATAAACCCCACTATTTGCACCAGTGATGGGTTGGTAGTGGTCTTCTGGATAGCATAAGCTCTCTTTTTACCTTATTTGAACCCTTTTCCAAACTTCTCAGTGATCACAATGCATAGCTTGAAAACAATGGCGTTGTTCAAACAAGAAGGATCACAGACCCAAACAGAATCACAGAACGGTTCGGGTTGGAAGGGACTTCAAAGATCATCCAGCTCCAACCCCCCCGCCCCGGGCAGGGACACCTTCCACTAGACCAGGCTGCTGGTATTGTATCATCATGATGCGGTACCAACACTTTTTGGTGGAGTACCACTGAGAAGTTCTGCAGAAGTATTCTGTTCCTATGGTGGATATTAAAGGCTGTCAGCAAATCACTGATCATACAGCATGTACAATGTCCATCTTAATTTTTATCCTATGCTGTATGCATGTGAAGTCAGTTCCTACATCTTAGTTGCTTTCCTCGAATTTTCCTTCTGTAAATGCCAACCGCTTTACATTATTTAATTTCTCTACCTAATCAGTTTTGGGGGAAGAGAGTCACGTACAACCTACCTGTACTTCAAGGGATCACAACAGCGTTGGCTGCCAAACTCTCTCTGAAAAAAGCAATGTGGGAGTGGTCCTTAACAGGGTGTTATATTTACACTTTTGCTGCCCTGTGCATTCCAGCAGCTAATTCTCTGGATATTTTCTGCTTAAAGATCTCAAGCAAGAAGCTGAAGAGTCAGTGCAGAAACTGATTCCTAGGTCTGGCAGTCTCAGCAGTTTGCACTGTGGCCCTGGGCAAGTCACTTGTCCTCTCTGTTTGCCTCTCTCTCTCTAGAACAGGGAGGATAATATCTATTATGAAAGGAGGTTCTTAATAACATTCGTAAAGTGCTTTGAAGATGAGAAATGATGTTCAAGTGCTCATAAATTATGCTGCATTCAGTGCAAGATGATTAGATGCATGATTCAGATTTGGTCACCTCATTTCAGGGTTGTTAAAAAAATAATCAAAGATCCACTGAAAAGAAATGCTATTACAGCCTTTCAATGGAAGAAACATTTAAGATAAGAACAGCCAACTTAACTAGAAAACAAGAAATAGCTATGGGACAAAAAATAGAGGTGTCTGCATGCAGTCCCAAATATACGGAAAATGATAAAAATAAATGTGCAATATGGCCTCTGCAAAATGTAGGCATAGGCCTAGCTTCACACTCTGCAAGCTGGAAGTTTTCTGACTTCTGTGTGAAAATCCATTTTAAGAACTAAGTCACAGGCAAGGTCCACACATCATACATTAAACTTGCACACTCTGCTAACTTCAGAGCAGTAAGTCTACTTACAGCAGGTGCAAGTACTGCCTCCAGTTTGGCCACTTTCTGAAAAAAACTACCTTTTATTTCAGTAATTTTAGACAGGTTTGGGGCCTTTACCATTAAGACGGGCCTTTTAAGATGTACACAGTGAACCACATCCTCAGCTGGCATGAGTGCCACTGGCTTCAGCAGAATTGCCAGCACCCTCTGAGTTGATAAGCTTATCTCTGTCACTCCACTTAGAATAATACAAGATGTATCACCATCCACAGCTGACATCCTCAAACCTGAGAAAGGGTAAGTGGGAAAAGAGCATCATCCTACCTTATTTTTTTCTTCATGCTGAAAGCAGCATTAAAATCTCCATTGCCAGCCTATCTGCGTAGTTAAGTATAAGAGTTAGCTTTATTCAAGTGCTAAAAAGAGACTGGATCTAAAGTGCTACTAATTTAGTGCTTATTGCTGCAGGGTCACTTTGAGATTGCATCTGCAACTGTTGTGTTATCTCTATGGTCTCTGTATGACGTGATGGTCTCTGCCACTGCATGTCAGGTTAGAAAACCCAGGTAGGTGAATCCTTTGTTCAACTATCAGTGCTCTCTATGCTGGATACTTCTTCAGGTACAAGCAGAGCCAAGTCCTCCCCGTTCCAGCTTGTGCACAAAAGCCAGCTGTAAGACACAGATAAGACAGGTATCTTTAGCTGAGCCAGTTTAAGTGTAGCATGCACCAACAAACACACTCTATAGCTCTGTTACAGCCATCTTCTGTGGCACAAAAGCTGTTGACACACCTCAGTAAACAAAAGCAATGACAGTACTTGCCCTTATTACACAATACCATTGCTGCTGTCTTTGGTTAAGTATTAAATTACTATGCCTGATTTATTACAGACTGGAACAACTACTCCTCCTGCTCTCAAACAACAACACTGCATGATACTCTCAAAAGAGAGGTTTTAGAGGAAGGTTATTCAAAGGGTGGGGTATCTGAGATGCTAATGACAGAAGGAAAAGAAAAATAACTGTCAAAAATTTATGGTGATGATGGACTACAGTCCCGACTGCAGGATGGACTAACTGATGGTAAATACCTGTTACTTTTTGCACAGAAGAGAGCACTTCCTTTACAGAAACTTTCTCTACCACACAGCACTGAAATAAACTAAAAATAACATTTAATAAAACAAGTGTTTACTCATCCTTTGTTAATATAACTGAATTCCGCAATTTTTTATTACTCTACTGAAAAGTGTTCTCCACACATCCCCAAGATCCTTTCGCTTCAATTCCCTCAGGGCTGAGACCCATCACTACCTTAGTCTTAAGTTACTGTTACTGCAGCTTCTCTGAACAGACTGTAAAAATACTGTAGTGAGACAGGCACAGACTTGAAATCATGTGAAATGTTCTAAATTTACAGCATTACCACTGCCAATTTAAAACTTAAAATGCAGCTAATACAGAGATAAAAGGTGACTGAGGTAAAGTTTAAGCGTTAGGAAAAAACATCCAAGTCTCCAGCAAGAATACCACCCTCTTAAGGAAAACAGTTTTTCCCCCATTAAATATAAATCTATCCAATGAAAAGTAATCCTTCTGTCATTTAGATCTATGTTCCACCATCCTAAAAAGACAGGATTTATATTGGAAGTAATGTAAAGTGAACTTTGCTTTTGTGAATACTCATGAATAATGATATTTCACCATCAATATTACTAGATGGTCACTAGATATGATGAGATGCAAATACTATAGAGGCATATTTTTTAACCATGTCTGAAGTTTTATTCATATAGGCCTTAAAGTTAGCGCAGATCTTTTACAGATTTTAATGGCACTGGGCACAAGGTACCCGTGACCAAGGACCAGGACAGATGGCTTTCCATTAAATTCACTGGGTGAACCCTCATTAGCATCTAGAAGAGCTCATGTTGCAAAATTAAGCTCATGCCTTTCAAGCGATCTGTTACCCTTGTTCTTTGCGAAAGGCTTTCCTCTAAGAAAGACCAGGCAAAGGTCTCAAACCAAGGGAAGGCGTACACATTCCGTCATGGGTGTGGTGTATCCCACTGGTAGTGCATTCAGGGTAGATTTCGGGTTTGGGGGAATGAAGTGACAAGTTCACAGCACGGAGCTGAGGGGAGGCGGTTGGATCTGGGCCAGAATGGGACCGGTGATGGGAAATCTCCAGCAAAGATGTAGGGGGGTTGGTGCTGAAGAGAGAAAAAGCGTGAAACCAGAGCACAGTAGGAAATATTGAAGTTTGAGAGCTGCGCTAAACCAGTCAGCTTCAACTCATGTCAGAAATTACTGGCAAAAGCAGCCAGAAGCACCCTCCTGATCCATACTTACCATAGGACAGCCAGTGGAATTAGACAAAGGCCTGCTGACAGGAGGAAGCTAAAGCCTGAAAACCATGCAACAGTGGCTGCATAGAGAGTATTAAAAACGGAAAGTGAAATACTGCCGGTCACGACTTCTAAACAGGCAATACAAGCAAACACAGCACCTGCCAAAAACAAATGGATGAATTACCAACAGAAAAAAAAATAAAACCAAAACCCCTTCAAATTACTGACCTTTTAAAACTTATTTTGAAAGATCTGTCTATCCACAGTATTTCTGCAAGTAACAGGCACCTGAGCATCATATGTCTTTGCTATGGAAGTGTCTTCTGTGGGGACTCCTACCAAAGGCTTGGTTTTTAAACGAAAAAAAACCCACCATATTTTGTTGATGGAAACTATTTTTCTTTGCTACTATCCTGTCACTGTACCTATTTTCTTGAATCTGCTTATCACATGAATTTCAAACTGTTCATCCTCACTAACCATGTTCTGCACATCTCCATCCTTTATCTCTTCCAGTTCTCCTCTCAATTCTCACTCTTCCCGTTCTTGTTTCCTCCTTCTCTAATCTCCATTTTTATATGCGGAAAAGGCTCTGATCCAACAAAGGCTGCTGGCTCAGCACATAACCATCTCCTTCTCATTTTTGAAAGGAAAGGAGCATTTTTTTTGCACTGAACTACCCACTGGGGTGGCAGTTGATCCCATCAATGTCTTGTTGAACATATTCTCCCAAGCCTCATTCATACTCAGGTGACCATAAACAAAATAACAATAGGTAAGCAGAAAAGGATGACAAAAGGCAACCTGATTCCTGTATCAAACTACTCAAGTAGCCAAAGCCCTGAAGAATGCCAAGTAACTGCAAAACCAGAGGTGTGTTAGCACAGTTAAGTACAAAGAGATCTTTGTTTTAGTGTATAAAGGTAAGCCTTCTAAAAAATAAAAACAACTAACTCAGGAGAACGTTTCTAGAAAATATATGCTCCCCAAAAGCAAAATATGGGATATTAGAGACACATTTTGAGTCCTGACAAGCTTTTTCCAGTGTTCCATAAGAAAAGGGCTTTGAGAAGTAATGTGTTCTATTTTTTGGGGCCACATTTAAGTAGTCACAGGCACCCGTGAAGCCACCACCTACATAGCTCACAATCCAAGTCTAATTGTTTTCAAGTGCTTTTGGGGTTGACCACCTACAGCTTACCTTTCTAAATTATTAAGTGGAACATCGACTAAATAACAGAAATATCTTTACTGCATGTCAAAATCTTGTGAACATAGAAGCACTTGTGAAATCACATCTGTATAAATCTTGAGCATTCCTCTGCTCCTGGCTCCCCATGGTCTTTATTTTTATTTTTTTTTATTTTCCCTTGAAGGTTGAAACTTGCAGAAGTTTTTAAACGCAATGTTGTTTATATTAAATTCAGAATCAAAAGCTATTTATATAATGACACAGGGTCATTTTTTATGGATCTTGCAAGAAAAGTAGTCTTAAAATACCAATACATATCTGATTGTTTAAAGGTAATCTTGCTGCATCTCTGTTCTGAAATACCATATTATTGTGTTGTTTAAAACGAAATTCTACTCACCCTGTTCACCAGTGAGAACCACTTTTGACAGCATGGATCGGAGAACAGGAATAGGCATAAAGCAGAGCAAAGATGGCACTCTTACTGCAAAGCAATGAATCAGTCGTGAGCCATTGAAATAATAAAAATTCAGGGTTTACAAATGAATTAGTCATATACTTTTGAATGCCCAGTTCCCCAAATAGCAAAACACAATAGAAAAGTCAAATTAGAAGTGCACTGAGAAACAATTATCCAAGCACAGAGTAATTAATAAACGCAATATACCTGTATGGCACTAAAACCAAATCATAAGCAAGTAATTCCATTCTCTCTCCAAACCCTTCATCTTTTAATTCAGTCCTAAATCAGTCTGAACAACCTTGTATCTTTTACCTCTCTATGACTGTTTCAAGACAGCATGTCCAATATCTACCAACTGTACTCACTACAGATAACATAGCAGTATTTTCACATATATTGTTGACAATGGAACAACTGATTCTGGACTCACCTAAAAACATGAGCAGGGTAGTTTTGGCAAAGGCAGCCATGACCATTCCTCCAATGTAAGAAAATATCCCGATAAAAACAATATAAATGTCTCTGAGACATTTAGAAAATAGGTAAACTCCTAAAAAACTGGTCAGAGAGACAGAAGTGAACACAGCTGCTCCATATCCAATGTACACTTCATTCCAGCAGAGTGGCTCATCCAGTTCATACAGTGTAAAAAGTGAACTCCCACCAATCATAGTAAACAAGTAAGTCATAAATGTAAAAAGTAACACAATTATTAAAATTCTCTTTTTACGAGGGGCAGTTTTAAAAAGCATGTACACTCCAGAAAATGTCTCTCTAAGGAGTTCTCTGCATGATACTGATGCCTCATGTTGGAATTCAGATGTGCCTACTGTATCTTCCAGAAAAAAGATAATATAGATAATATTAACAACATGAAGCAGAGATGCTATCACAAATGTCCATGTAAAGCCTATTCCTCTTAGGAAGTAGCCAGATGACAATCCTGCCAATCCAGATACAACCCCAAAAATCAAATCCACCACAGCTATTCGTGTTGTTTTCTGCTTCTCATCATGACACACATCTGCTATAAAAGCAAAGCCTCCTCCAAGGAGAGTGGCCATACCCCCGAACAGTCCAGTAACAAATGCAACCACAAATAGGATAGAGAGTGATAAGGAAAAATGTGATATCACAGTGAGGCAAATCTTAGCAATCAAAGCTCCCACTGATGGTAAAACTAAAGACCTTTTGCGTCCCTGGCGATCCCCATTAGCTACAATGACAAAAGCAACTATAAGGCTGGGAACTGCCCCAGTTAAGTCCAACTGCATATTAAAAACAGAGGCTTTTTCTTGAACCGCCTGCAAAGAGAAAACAAAAATAACTGTAAATACTGTAACAGATTGTTAAAAAAACCCCTACACTAATATTACTTATATTATGAGTAGCATGCAATATAATAGCATAGTACATGTTCATAGATTATAAATTATTATAAAACATCATACAATATAAGATTATATGACATAATGTATTATGCTATAATAAAATACATTACTGTATGTTTATAAGAATGCATTACAGTAATTGCTAATACAAAGGAATTGCATATTCAAATACTCCCGCCTTTGTAATTTTACTTTCAATACTCCCCAAATATCCCTTGTTACCTTTTAAGTCAAAACTTATTTCTTAAATTATAGTCTTACTAGTACTCTCAACAGACAAGTTTCAATAGACAAGAGAATAATTATTTTAAACATGCATTTACAAGAGCTGGTGCTTATCCTGTATCGCCTTCAGTACAGGGTATGGCAAAAGGACACTGGGCCTATTTTCATCTCTCAGAAACCAGTAGTAAAACAGTCTTTGATTGAGGAACACACCCCACACTCCCTGCTCACAGGAGATCATTTTTCCTCCCAAATAATCCTTCTGAGAGGGCTACAAGAAACAATTCACTGACTAGCAAGCACATTGTGCGAGTAAACAGATTGACATTTGCTCTGACATCCCAATGTCCAACACTGATAATAATAACAACAGTAATAAGAAAAATGTGAAACACATAATTGAAAAGAATACCGAGTCACAGATATGTGAATTAACTAATTTTTAAAACACTGGAAAGTTCTGAGTCCAGAAACTGTCCAAATCAATGATGTCTCTATCGATATGCTACAGCAGGTATTCACATAAGGAACAGCAGCTATCTCTATGACAATACACCATAAACGCCCATTATGGGAAAAATTTCTGTGCTCTTTTTATCAGAAGTATAAAAATCAAATGTAGCTGAAAAACAACCAGTTAACAGAACGTGAATGGCTGTAGAAAAAAATAACTAAAGTCAATAAAAAAAAAAACCAACCCTATCTCCTTACGAAGCCAGCCACTCAATGGCGCTCAGCAAGCTAATTCAGATCTTGCCTGTAATATGCTGATGCAGGCTAGACAGCCAGCAGCCACCACGGTCCTTTCAAAGACCACCACCCGATCAGACAGAAGAGCAGCAGGGGAAAAGGAAGTAACTTCCTTCACAGAAACCCTTTAAACTCTGTAAGATAAACTTTCAGATGCAGAGAATAAAGTCACTGGAAGTTTTCTTCAAGTTTTCTGAGGTATCACACTGATCTGGGCAGGGGTTGCACTCTTCGTGCAGTAGCAGGTACAGCCGTTAAGTCTTCCCAAGACATTCTCAGCCTGTATTCAAGCCATCTAAATTCTACGTTTCTGGTGTTTCCTCTGTAGCTAACATAATCCCGACTGAGTAGCAACCGAAAGATGAAAAAACCCTAGAATTTCCAGGAATGTGCTTTGGGCAACTTTAAGGGCTGCTGAATACTTTACAAATTCATATTTATACTATTTACAGGCAAAGACCATGAGTTTCTAGTTCAACCCCTTCCTTTGTTTACAAGATATCAGGTTTTATTGCAACAGGAAAATTCAATTGACCCTGAGGCCCTCAAAGAAAGCTCTCAAGATCCCCAGCGCTCTGGAGTGTTTTGCTCTCTTCCCTTATGGTGTCTGACTACCTTAGGATTTACGATGTCCTGTCCACTGGCCAGCACTGTTGTCACCCTGGAAGGATCAAAACCATGAAGACTGAACAAACCAAGATGGCAAATGATATTCTGATTTGATTTTTTAACTCCTCCCCTACTGACAAAGCGAACTCTATGTAGTTGCAGGCATTGCTTCTTTACTAGGATCATCAGGTTCAAAGACGTGAGTGTCAAATAAATGCTAATACATTAGAAATAAAACTACGTTATTATATATCATCTCAAGCCACATTAACAATACAATACAAATATTATCACCAAACCATAATGAAGTGTTAAACTGGAGGATTAAAACAACAAAGGCTTGGGTTTCATTGTTTTGCAAGTAGGTGTACAAAACAAATGACACGGCTACACATCCAGATAACACAAATGACCATAAAACCTTGCTGACATACATGACTTCTTGTATACTGATGAGAAGACTTGCCCTGGGTTGAGTGAGTGGTGGAGTTTTTTGGTGGCAGGGGAGGGGGCTATCGGGGTGGCCCCCTGTGAGAAGCTTCTCGAAGCTCCCCCGGCTCCAAGTCAGCTCCACTTCTGTTTGGGAAATTGAGCCCATCAGCTGCGCCTCTGCGATAACGTATTTAAGAAGGGACGTGGTGAGGAGCAGTGGGACTGGTGAGGAGGAGTTGCTGCAGCTGCGTGAACACCAAGGTCAGTGGAGGAATGGAGGAAGAAAGGAGGGGGGAGGTGTGCCGGAGCAGAGACCCCCCTGTATCCTGTGGGGAGACGGCAGGGCGGCCCCCCCCCTGCCACCCATGGAGATCTACGGTGGAGCAGACATTGATTTATGGCCTGTGCCTCCCGCTCGGAATAATCAAGGTGCTGTGCCCGAAGAAGGCCGGGGTCTCATGGGAAAAGGCAGCCCCTCTGCTGTAATTCAGCACTGGGAGGATTGCAGCATGTGGGGGAGTCCCACGCCGGAGCAGCTCGGGAAGGCCTGCAGCCGTGGGAGGGAATCCAGTCGGAGGAAGTTGGTGACCCACGACGGAGCAGTGTGGGGAACGCTGCGGCCCGTGGGAGGGACTCATGTCAGAGAAAGTTTGTGGAGGACTGTCTCCTGTGAGAGGGGGACCACGATGGAGCAGGAGGAACAAGTTCCAGACACTCCCCTCACCGAAGATGAAGAAAGTGGCAGCGCTGACTGCACCCCCCATTCCCTGCCCCTGCGCCACTGGGGGAGGAGGTAGAGATATCGGGAGCAGAGCTGAGCCTGGGAAGAAGGGAGGGGTGGGGGGAAGGTGTTCTCAAGATGTGGCAATGCTTCTCACTCTCCTACTCTGTTATGTGTTGTTAGTGTCTGTAATAAATGTATGTTCTTTTTTTCTTCCCCTAACGAGTCTGCCTTTTGCTCGTGATCATAAAGGGGAATTTTTCCCCATCCCAGTCCTATCTCGAACCCCAAGCCTGGCTCTCTGTCCCTTCTCATTGCCAGAGGGGGAGGGAGAGAGAGGTGCTGCATTGTGGTTGGCTGCCAACCAGGCCCAAACCACGACAAGACTAAAACAAAAAAGTACACAAAAACTCCATTTAGCGTGTAGAGCACTCAACTGCCCAGTTCACGTTTTTATAAAGTCAATGGAAAGGAATACAGAAAATGATAGGTCAAACCCACAGCTGCTTCAAAATCATGTAACTATTAAGATCAATGGAACTAGATAAATTTGAAGAGAAGGGTCTAGTTTTTTAATCTGCAAATTCACTCTATTCTGAAAAAAAGTTCACGATTCATAAAACTGTTCATGGTTCTGAAAATATGCCCATAGTTCTCAAAATCACAGATTTCAAAATTAAAATGAAAATCAAGAAGCAATTCACTTATATAAGGATTAAAGTAATAAAAAAGCATAGTGCCTGAGGCTGAACTATGTGCATTACATGATAAACTGGCAGGCTCATAAAATTAAAAAATATTACTAGGTAGCAAAGGAGAATGCATGGACTGAATAATAAATAAACTGGATGTTAAATAATGTTTAATGATTAACAATATAGCTGTTTCCGAGCTAAGAAACGGATTACCCAAGCCAGTGACTGGAATGCTTCAGCTTGTATTCAAATTACCTTTGAACTAATTTTATTTTAAAGTGACTGATTTCCTTCAAATTGTAAAAAATAATCAATCAAAATTCTGCAAAGACCATCCATTTTGAACTGTATTCTACTTTTTGCAGGCCCAAGTGATTTTTGTCTTCAATTTCCCTTTTACTTTTTTCTTTGACATAGGTGAGATTAGCATAAAGGTTCTGCATTCTCAGAACGGAAGGACTTTATACTAAATTACCTATTAAGGGAGGGGTTCTTTTAAAAGTCAATGCCAAACAGGTCCTGTTGGGAACACTCCCGACAGCAAAATTTACAACATCTGTTAACCTAAGTCAGTCTTGGAAAATCCAGAACATCTACTTTCACGTATCCTCAGGAAAAGTCTTGGGACTGAGCTACTGGACCTACTCTTTGGCCCATACACAGGACTGTTACTCAGCACAGAGACCACATTCCACTGAAATTAATGGGTGTTCTGCACATTTTACATTATTATACTATGGTAACAAGTGTGGCAAGCCATCCAGACAAGAGCATCATTGTTCAAAAGGTCATGCCCTGCTGGCAATCATTTAAATGGAGGGAATTGAAATTTGGCAGGAAAAGGAAACAAAGAAGTTCTGTTGGCCATTATTCAACTACTGTCTTGAAGGATTCATGTTCTCAAATATCAAGTTAATTACTCTGTAACCTTTATGCCGAGAAACCTGTAATGTGTGAATTCACCACCACATCAATCAGAGATGCTATCTAAACTTCAGCTGAAATTAAGCACTCAGCTTCAGTGTTTTGCAAAAAGAATTACGAAGTCTTATATCCTGAACCATAGGTGATCACAATTTGACAATCAGGTTGAATTGGAGAGGTTTCTAGTAAATGCAAAGTGCAGAAATGTTTGTGAAATGTAGGTTTCTTGATGGGCTCTGCAATTACAACTCTATGCCCCAGGTATGATTTTCTTAGAGTTTCTCCTTTCATGTGACAAAATGCCCACACACAGCACCAAAAGGGGAGCTAATAGTAAAGAAAACACTTTGGGGGCATAACATACAAACATTATTCAGACAATAAATGGCTATTATCTCCAAATCATTTCCAATGGGTGGCATACCATTACCTTCCTCAGTTGATGGGTTAGCCCAGAAGGCATGCTAGACTACAATTCTATTGACCTTTTTATTTTCATTTTTTCTGCTCAGACCAGCTTCTGTCACACGAGGAAGAACCTACTCCACACTAAAAATCCAGAATTATTTACTTGATCAACTTCAATGGAAGCATGTACCATTAAAAACTTTATTTTATACATGACAAACGAGGCAGATAAGCTCAGGTGTTCAGTCTTGTACGTACGCAGAGAATCAGAGATTCAAATCTGGGATGTGGCCAAAAATTTTCAAGTGCCACCTTTTCAGCAGCATCGGGGAATGCCAGCTGACTGTTTTCATAACTCAATCTTCTCTGTAATTTATAATCCGAGCCATCTACTTCTCTGACCCTACAGTGGTTTAATGTTCCACTTAATCCAAGCTAACTGCTAGTTGTTGTTGCCAAGGATGGTTCTGTTGTACTTCTTCTGGAAATGTGTTCCCTGTGCCATCCCCATGTTAGATACAGCAATTGTGTGACCAGAGAGCAGGACACTGACAGAGCAGAGCACTACTTCATCAAAAAAACAACACTCAAAAAGCAACAAACTCAAAAAAAGAGATGAGCTTGCTGTTGAATCAGTGCCCCGATCAAATACAAACTGTAACCTGTAACTGCAGGACTGTGAGATACAACATGGGGGAGAGGGGAAAGGAAAAAGGGAGTATGATCATCTCTTCTGCTGGCAGCCTGTAGTTAGCTCTGCTTAAGTGTAGCATTAAAACCCCATTGGAGGTGCAACAGAAGAGATTCCAATCAGCGACTAGCTATCCAGCATGCTGAAATATGAAAAAGTGCTAAAAATGTAATTGACCATGGGATGCTGTCATCTTGTCGTCTTTGTATTTCAACAAGGCAGACTAGCACTCTGAATGGTAAACCATCAATTGTATCTGATTGTGCAAAGATCAGATAAAACTTTTCTGTCACATTTTAAAATTACATTTAAAAAATAAAAATTAATCTCATCCATTCCTCATTCTTGTAATCCCTCTGAAATAAATGTATTCTAAAGCAGACCTTATTCCTGAAAATTACAGGACATTTGCTAAAGTTTACAAACAAAGATCACCAAAAGACACAAAGACAACTGATGGCTCAGAAGCACATGCACAACCGCTACTGGCAGGAGGAGGTACCCGTTGTAATGTCAGCCCAATCCTCTATGACGATTTTCAACTGCTGCTAAAAAATGAGTTTATCTCAGCACCCTTCTGAAGCCAAATCACTGTCTTTAAAGCACTACAACTACCTACAGCGCAACACAGGTGCAATGAGGCAGTAAAGTGACAGCAGGTTACAAAACTACCGCTTTTCCCTATATAAAAGGTTATATAAAAGGAGGTTATGCCGAGACAGCACCTCCTGGCTGCAAGTTTATTTACAATTGTTATTTTTTTTTTTCCCTTCTTACCTTCTGCTTTATATAAGCCGGGCTACTTTTATTCTGTTCACAGTAAGTGGCATTGCTATCGCTTACGAAAGTGGAGTTGTACTCTTCCTCCCACAGCCGCCGGTAGATGAACTGCTGCACCAGCGGGCTTGTCAAGGAAGACACAAATATGTAGATGAAAATGACGGGCTCCACGCACAAAACCTTCCTCATTTCTGCGCTCGGGGTTTAATCCTGCGCACCAGAAAACACAACGCGATCACTCACGGTGCGAAGGGGGGGGGGGGGGGGAACACCCGACCTGCCGGCCGCCGACAGCCCCTACCTGCCCGGCAGACCATCAGCGAGCCCTCCGCGATCCCGCCGGGCCCCGGCAGCGCCTCCTCCCGCCACCGCCTCCCTCGGCCGGGCTCTGCCCGGGGGAAGGTGCCCCCGCCGCCCGCTCTCCTCCGCCCCGCACCGGCCCCCGGCGGCGGAGGTCACGCCGTGACACCGAGAGGCGGGACGAGGCGGACGGCCGCGTCCCTCAGCGGAGGAGCGTCCCCCACCCCCCCGCCTCCCAGCCGAGGGGGACGAAGCCGGGTGCCGCCATCTCGCTTCGGTGTCCCTCGGTTCACCCCCCCGCCCCCCGCCGCGGCCTGCGGGCGGGCGGGCGGGGCGCCGCGGCGGGCGGGCCGAGCTGGGCGGGCCGCCGGCTGCGGGAGGGAATGGCCGGCCTGGCGGCGGCCCCCGCGGGGCTCGGCAGGGCGGGGGGACGTGGCCTGCTCCGCGGCCTGAGGAGCAGCCCTCAGGGGAGGGGAAGGGAAGGGTCACACACATACGCAGCTCCCCCACCCCCGGTGCCTGTACCCACGCCGCGGTTGCTGCTAGGAATCATGACAAATCAGTTCCGTCGTTTCACCCCCCAGCAGTCGCCCAGTGTTTACAGCGCCCGGGAGTTTGTTTTGGCGGGTTGCGCAACGACGGTCTTTTATTATCAGCGGGGCCTCGTTTGACACCGTTCTGGGGAACCCGGAGCCGCGGGTGCCACTGCCCGGAGCTCAGCCGGGCCCTGGGGTCAGCCTGCCCGGGGGTCCGCCACGGCCCCGCTCTGCCGGAGGAAGAAGCTGTGGGCAGCTCTTGCTCTATGCTTCCGTGTTTTCTGCACTCAACTGACATGATTTAGAGGTTTTATTACAGCGGTTCCCCTTCCACATGCTCTTGGCGTGTCAGGGTGTGTAAAAGCAACATTTGTTAGCCACCAGCTGGTCTCCACACGGCTCATTCTCTCCAAATCTGACATAGCTGCTGCGGCGTGTCAGGGGAAAGGTGTGGTGGCCCGTGACTCTTGGAACAGCTGCTGTGGTACATGCTTTGGCTCAACAAGAAAGGTCATGCTGGTGCAGATCCACAGTTGTGATGTTTAAATATGACCCCTATCCATCTTGATGGACACAACAGAGGGAGCGTGCCTTGGTATCAGAGCTGTAAACCTTCAGATGTGTTTTGTACAAACTACAGAAGGCTTGTCTGCTCACTGATGGTGGATGTTCGCTGGGTTAAGGATACTGGTTTCTCTCTGCTTTGAGGTGGAGTGCTCTGGGACAGGCACCAAGGTATCCCTTCTATCTTACTTCTCTTTGATGCACTGTCATCTTAAGTCTCACTGACTAATGACTCTGGCTCCTCGCAGGTGTGGCACAACAAGGAGAGGTGACATAGTTGGTGAGTCCCAAAGGACCTTCTCTCAGTCTTAAATACTGATTTTCAGTTACATATACAGCAAAAAGTTGTATTTGCTAAAATCACATCAAAGCTTCAAAGGCTTCCTAATGTATTTTCCCTCTTAAAAGAAGTGCAGTTTAATAACTTTGTGAATATTCAGTTCCTTCATAAACTGATTTGTAAGCCAGACTAACTGTAACATGGGTCATATGGTCTTGCGTAAAGCTTTAATTTGTTGCACTGGCATGTGACATGTCTGTCAGTTCCAAATTTAGGGACAACACTGGCCTGTCATGTGTCTCTTAGCATAGGATCAGCCCAATGTACAAGCTCAGCAGCCTTGATTATTTGCTTGAGATGGTGAGCTCGTTTGGTACAACATACAGGCCTGCTCACAGAGATAGACAGACAGAGAGTGATTAAAAAAAAGTGAGGCTCTGGCCTGAGATGAACTGTAGAAAGTATTGTCCTTTTCCTTGACCTCGCCAGGGACAAAGTCCGATTCATTCTGTGACAGTGTTTTGTCACAAGGTGAAGCAAAAACAATCATGTGAGGGTTACACACAAATGGGCTGCTACAGGAGTGGGGCTGGTCAGGTCACTCAGCCAGCCGTTAACACTTATTTGGATGCGGTGAAGAAGGGATTTTAAGCCTCTGGGAAGTTTATGTTGTTCCACAGAAGGATGTTGTCCAGAGCCCCATTAGGTCTCTCGCTAGGTCCATCTGTGCTGAAGAACATGTTGTTCATGAACTTAAGCTTCTGAGTACAGCTCAGATTGCTGGGCAAAACACTTTTTAGCTAACAGCTAAAACACTAGGACCTCCTGCGTCCAGTAACTGTGTTTAAGTTTGGGCTTGGGTTTGGAGAGCCAAGTGGCTCCAGCGGTTGTGGCCTTGCCAATGCTGAAGGCAAGACTGCAGTGTGAGATGGGTACCTCTAAGCACCTGATTAATTTTGTCCAAGAGCTTGAAGCCTGCTCCTGAGTGTCTGCTAGTGGCAAGAGGTAACATATACCCCTCATACAGGTGCACTGGAACAGATTTGGCCCTTCCTTGTTCTCAGTCCCACCTGCAAGGGGAACTAAAAGCAATAGATGTGATTGAACTTTTAGGATTAGAATTAGCTGGGTGATGCTTATCCTTTGAAAGGAAGCATTTTCAAATAGCAGAACACATGACAAACTAGCTTCCTCTCTCCACTGTCACCAATATTCACGTTGGCACAAATTTGAGTGACGTGCTGGTAAACAGACTTCACAAAGGTCACAGGCATGGGGTGGCTGCAGCTTTGCAGTTTGTATTGTTTGTTTACTGACGTCCTTAACGCGTGAAGAATTAAAGGAGCGCATGTAGTCATTGTGGAGGTCAGGTTTTTTGGGAGCTCTTGCTAAGCTTTCTGTCAAAAAATCTTAAAAAACAAACAGATTACTGATCTTTGAAGGTGATATGTTGCTTGTGTGTCAGGGCATGGGAAAAAGGAGACATGTAACAAAGTTCAAAGTTCAGAACATTAAGAAACTTTTGAGAGATCCCACCAACACTGGTCAAAGGGCAAAGACATTATGTTATCTTCAGTGATAGAAATCTTCAAACAAAGCCTCCTGTACTTCAAGGAATTATGCATGACTTACATGACAAGATCTTGTCATTCGGTGATTGCTATGATTGCATTGTCATACAAATTTGTTGCTGCAGAAAAAAGCAATTTTTAATTTTATATATATATATGTACAAATCCTTTGTACTATAAACATTTTTTCTAGCATATTCTTTTGATGAAGATTAAGCTGGAGACATTTTGGAGGTCTGGACAGTCACATTTCTTTGCTGAAAAAATTAGTAGTGCTTTAATAAATTGCCATGTAAAATGCAATTTTAATTGCCTTCTAAGAAGTTAAGTACTTTTTAAAACTGAAGCGACTTTAATTTTCCACATTAACAGTCTACTGAGACCATGAAGAACTTTAGCCCTCTACAAATCATTTGTGGATTACAGAGTGACAGTAAGAAGTACCATATCTACTTATATTCAACTCATGTTTTCAAGGCTATCTTGATAAGAATGGTTAACACAAATTTAAAAAAAAAAAAAAAAACAAACCAAAACTGAAGAGGGAAGAGAGAAGCACACTTTCTGCAGAAAACCCATTTTATACAAAATGCAGTTCTGCAGAAACCTTGCGTACCTTGCGTCTTGCCCACAAGCCTGGCAAAAGAAGATACATGGAGGAAGTTTTCCAAATAGTACTGCTGGGGCAAAGGAGACAAGAATAACTGTGTAATTCTGCAGAAGTGTGCCTGGGTTTAGGTGTAACTGTTTGTTTTGTTTTCATTATATTATAACTGAGTTGATCACTGAAGCTTGAATGCAAGCCCTGACAAGAGAGAGTAGTAGTGAAGATTTAAATACGAGACTGAAATAAAATGTGATAAGGAAAGTTTGAGCAACAAATCCAACCACACAGTTTTGAAGTACCTCTCTTTTGTAAAAAGAGACAAGGAGAAACTGTTACCATCATCCAACCCAGAGAAAACCTGTGCGGGGTTCATATCACCAATTTTCATTCACATCAGGTCGTCACTGATTTTCAGGGTCTAAAATGCCATCTCTGATCTTGACTTTTTACACAGCTAAAGCCATCTGACCCAGCAAGCGGTCGCTGATCTGCAGCCCACACAGTGCAGAGAGGCTCACAGCTTCACCACTTTCCTCTGACTGGCCTCATCCACTCTGCATAGCATCTGGTCTGAGCCTCCTCTGGCACCACGGAGTAACTGAAAGCCACAGATAATCATAAATAATAACACTTTTGTATTTTTTTGCAGTCCCGAATATCTGAAACAATGTGACTGCATTCATCTGGTGTGGAAGAAGGTGCCTGAAAGGCAATGCGTATGGGCAAGGGCATCCCACCGACCCTGGATCACTGAAAATGGGGGGTTGTTCTGAACCCCTCTGTCACAGCAAAAGCACTACTGCTGACGGTAGTCTCCATGCCACACGATACTTACTACTGTTCTTAAGTGCTGTGCTGAAAATTCGTGCTTATTTGAGTACTCAGACATCAGGATATATTTATTTTCTCTGCATTAGATAATCTTAACAGAACCAATGCTCTTGCTGGCACATCATGCACACCACGTAACAGCAGCCTTTTTCAAATGGTGTGGTTTATTCAGTATTTTTGCTTTTCAGTTATTTCCCTCTCATACTCACATATTTGGAAGTCCTCAGTGCTCATCTATGATTATTTCATATCTCAGATTTAGATGCTTCCATTGAAAGCACTTCACCCTGGTGTCTTGTCTATTTAGATGACTCAGTGGAGGAGAATTTTGCAGTTCTCTCTGCATTGGGTTCAGGTGCAGCTTATGTGAGCAGACCATTGCAGTTTTGTCCAGTCCAAAACAAAGCTACAAGGAGCTATTTGACTTGCTGTGGCTGTCTTTCAGGCTTCTCAAGGATTTTAAGTTTGTCTTTTGTAGCTGCTTGGTTCCGTTTGTGGCATTTTTTTTTTCTTTCTTTTTTTTTTTTTTTTTTTTTTTTTGTTGTTGCTGTTGTTTGGTTGCTTGGTTGGTTTTTTCCTCCCTGTTTTGCTTTCAATTACAGTTATGGACTAGACATATGATAGTTCTTCACCGTAGACAGGTGATGTAGGTTGTGTAAGTCTGACTGCATTGCTTGACACAGAATTTCTGCTGAGCTGTTTTACAAGTCCAATTTAGCACCTTAGACTTACTTTGCAAAA